CTTGTCCCGCCGGTGGTCCCCGACACTTTGTCCCGTCGGTGGTCCCCGACACTTGTCCCCCCGGTGGTCCTTGATACTTTGTCCCGCCGGTGGCCCCCTCATATTTTGTCCCGGATACCATTATTTTTACTTAGTCTCATGTGGTCCTTGGTGCCTTTCCTTAAGGTGTCTCATACTCTTTTGGCGTCTACCGCCCTGTGGTGACCCCTTTCCCTTGTCTTTTGTCGGGCCTTGTGCGCGCCGGTTTCTCCGGCCACGGGGCCTCCAATCCGTGGTTTCCGTTAATTGTCGTAGGCGGCCTCCACGTTGAGCCTTTATTTTTTATTGTTCCGCGGCCACCGGGGTCGTCCACCTCTCGGCTTTCCTATTCTTTTGTCACCCGCCGTGCGGTGCTTGCTAAGTTAACGGCCCATCTGGTCCTTGTCATGCCGAGTTCAGATGGCCCTCCTGGCCCCATGTTATGCCCCTATGTGCCCGTATCCCGTTCCTTACTTGCTTGCCGTTGCCGGTTCTTTCCCCCTGCGGTGCTTAGCCCAGGGCATCACTCCTCCCGGCAGTCTCGTCCTAGTCCTTTGTCTTTTCTCTCTCTCTTGTCTCCTTACTCTAGATTTCTCTGTCGTGCACAACCTAGCTATATATTGGCTCTCAAGTGTCGTGACGTTATTCGGGATCCACATGTCCCAACACATTCCCCCCACTCATTCACGATGTCCTCATCGCGCACCAGTCTGTCAGTAGGGGGTCTGGAGGGATAGACGGGAGAGAAGGGCGGGATGTAATAGGTAGTTAGTTTGCCACGGCCTATTTTGTCTTTTCTTGTCCTTCCCCGGGTTTCCTCTAGTCTCCGCTCCTTGGGGCGGGGAGGAGTGTGTGGAGGGTCAAGTTCTCCTTTTTTTGAGTTCCTTCAAACTTCTCTTATCTCATTTATCACCCTTAGAACGCCAAGCGCTCTTTCGGCTTCTTTCGGCTTCTTTCGTCTCATTCATCACCCTTAGGACATCAAGTTTTTTGTCTCATTCATCACCCTTAGAACATCAAACCTTCTTTCGGTTTCTTTTGTCTCATTCATCACCCTTAGAACATCAAGCCTCCTTTCGTTTTTTTTCGTCTCATTCATCACCCGTCGTACATCAAACTTTTCATCTCATTATCACCCGTAGTACATCAGGCATTTCGTCTCTCGCCCCTGCAGTTCATGCTTCTTCCTCGAGCCTTGCCATCCCTAATACCCTCGAATGATCTGCCTTCCATCCCGTGTCGATCATGTCCCTCTTTCGACATATGTCGCCCTCAGTACTTCTTCTTACCGACTTTCTGGTCCGTGCAATCCCTGCTTCTTACCACCCTTTTCTTGACCTTATGCTCATGCAATCCGTTTTGGTCATTTTGTCAGGTCTTTCTCAAGCCATAACTCTATCAATTTCACATAAATCTTTCCCTTGCCAAGCCTTTCTCAAGCCCAAGCTCAATCACTTTCACATGCATCTTTCTTTCGGACATCTTGCCAGACCTTTCTCAAGCCCAAGCTCAATCAATTTTACATGCATTTTTCTTCTGGATATCTTGCCAGACCTTTCTCAAGCCCAAGCTCAATCAATTTTACATGCATTTTCCTTCTAGACATCTTGCCAGACCTTTCTCAAGCCCAAACTCAATCAATTTTACATGCATTTCTCTCGAACTCATGACAACCTCATCCTTTTGACTCTTGTTCTTTTTATTGCACGCTTTTTCATCGGTAGATGACACGCCTTCCCCCCACTCAAAATGCGATGTCCCCATCATACGACTGACTCTCACTCGGAGGTACGGAACCTTGGCCCACCAACTGAGTCAAGAACATCGGTCCACCTGCTTCTTGAAGAAAGGGTGATCGGTTCTTCCTCGGCAGGCAACACCTCATCCTTCTACTTAGTCCGACCTTTAACTATTACGAGACAGACGTCATTGTTGAGGTATCACCTCACATCTAACAGGTAGGTCCAATCCAAGCCTCTCAGGATCCCGTCTTGCCGTAAAGGCATCCCTCGCGAATCGTTCCTCCTGAGTGGTATTTTCTTGGAGTCCAAGCCTCTCAAGATCCCGTCTTGCCGTAAAGACATCCCTCGTGAATCGTTCGTCCCGAGTGGTATTTTTTTGGATCCGGTCTCTTCCTTTCAAGAGAGTTGTGGCTCTCTATTGGTCTGCGAGTTCAGTTACAAAGACCTCACGGTTAGTTCCAGAACGGTTGTAATGATCCGACAGGGCGGTGTCAATGCCCTGTGGTGGACGCAGACTCCATCCGGTATATCGCTTGACCCCTCCCTTTGAACAGTGCCGCTCAACTTAATAGGAGCATCCTTGGTCCATTCCAAGCGGCCACGCCGCCCCTCTATGGTATGGCGTGTGGTTGGGGAAAGCAAATGAGACTAGCAAAAGAATGGTACTTCACTCATTTGGTTTCACACCCTTTGATGTCTAGGCTGCCAACATGAGGCGCAGTTTGAACTCCTCGACTAGAGCTCGTTGTCGGAGTTAGTTCCGGACGGCTAGCACTAATCAAAGAGAGAAATGTCTTGGTCCTTTAACCCTTATCCTTATTTATGAGGAACAAGTCGCGTTGAGACTTTCCCTTGACGGGCAGAGGTCCTAAGGTCCCGGTGCATGCACGCACCGGTATCCCCTTCCTGTTGAGGCATGGGACTAGATAAAAATGAAAGCTCTTTCAATGTTATTTCCAATCCGCCTAGGGCCCCCTGATATGCAATGTAATTTCCAATCCTCAAGCAATTCCTCAATGCAAATTCCAGATTCTTCCAACTCAATATCTCTCAAGCAATCATGCAAGGGGACCCTAGTAACTATTCCAAATGACCCTTATCAGGGGTCATTTTGCTATTTCCGGTCGAACAACCTTATCAGGGTCATTCTTTTCAATCTCAATCGAACAACCTTGTCAGGGTCGTTGTTATCCATTCTAGTCGAACAACCTTGTTAGGGTCATTCGTATCCATTCCAGTCGAACGACCTTGTTAGGGTCGTCCTTATCCATTCCAATGTTAGCGCCCGAGGGAGTGAGAGAAGGTTAACAACAGTCGTATTTTTCATCACCACTTCAGGATGCATCATGCCTAAACAGATGGTTTTCAGGGTCTTTGGACCTTTCACCACTTCAGTACGATTCAGGTCTGAAAATCCTGAATGCTCCTGAAGTGGTAAAAAGTTCGAAGACCCTGAAAACCACCTGTTTAGGCAGGCTGCATCCACAAGTGGTGAAGGGTGGTTTTCATGGTCTTCGGACCTTTCACCACTACAGGACCATTCAAGATTTTAAGACTGCCTAAAACTCCCCCTTGACCACTTATGGACACCCTTCACTACTTCAGGATGCTGTCTGCCTAAACATGTGGTTTTCAAGGTCTTTGTACGTTTCACCACTTCAGGACCATTCAGGATTTTCAGACTGCCTAAAACTCTCACTTCAGAATTTTTATTCCTGAATTTCCAGCTATCCGATAACCGCTTGTGGAGGGGGTGGGCCTCGAGGACACGAATCCCATCTTTGTCTTAAGGGTTAGAAGGTGGTCATTTCTTACAGTTTTCTGCGTGCGATATCTCTTATCCTTTCTCAATACCATTTGTTGTTCCTCATGCATACACCCGGCTTAGCGTTTAGTGCTCGAGTTGAGGCTTGCAACCTCAAACAGCACTTAGCCTACCAGGACGTTCAACCATAGTGAAGGGGTATGGACATCCTTTCAGTTTTCACTCTTTCCGACCTCTCAGACTTCCTGCTACTTGTGACTCATTCACGACTCGGTTGGATTAGGCTCGTAGGGAAGAGGGGTTCTCACGCCTCTCTACCCATAGGTTCCCTAACCTCTCTTGTACTCAACCGACACTCAATGCCTTGCTTTCCTCGTCAATCCAAATTCATAGTCTCTTTGCAAAGGTGCAATGTCTGTTTCATCCAAAGTGCATAATACAATCATCCCAACCAGTCTCGTCCCCATACCCCCTTGTCATTGTTTTGTACACAATTTTTCGAAGGTAGCTCATCCAGGAAGTAGCTTCCAACTATTGTTCTCTAACTCATCGTGACATAATTTAAGCTAGTCCTTGTACCGCTCAGTCCTAGCAAGCTTACTCATACTATCCAAACTTTTTTATCACTTCAATATTGCAAAAGAAAAACACAATTTTTGTTCAATGCTCATAACGTCTAGTCCCTCTCGTTGTCATCTATCCTATCTCGCTTGGCCCCTTGCTCATCCTGTCTTCCCGCTGACGCTTTGACTCCCAGGTCGGAGGTCGGGATTTCCCTCTTTCTCTTCGCAATTTCCCGCAGCTCCCTTTCATTGTAAAAGTCCAAAGGCGTGGCTGCCACTCCGGCCTCCATCAGTTCCCTGACCTTGATAATCCAGTCGCGCTTGATCACGCTAATCCATTGCTCAAACCAATGACTGGGCGTAGGTCCAAACTCATGTTCCCATCTGAAGGGTCCCTCTTGTAACCTGCTTGCGGTGGGTCGCCCTTCTTCTCTAGGCCTCGAGATTTCATTCGTTTCATCACCACTGTTAATCTCAATGACCTCCTGCACTTCTTCCTCCTTGTCCTCATCCTTTTCTCCCCGTACGGGGCTGAACTCACCCGTAAAATTTTTCGGATTTAAGTTATGAGGGATGTCCATCCTGTTTTCATACCCTTCCCCAAAGTCTGTGTTCCCTCCCTCACAACTGTCGTGGCCGCTTCAGTCGTCATGCGGACTCTGTTTTTCATATTTGTCATTCATATCTTGCCTCTCTTCGTCCTCCTTGCACCATTGCCCATGCTGTTTACACCCCTCGACCCCCTTCTCGGCCAAAATTTGAGCCCTTTGTTCTTCCGATCGGCCCCTTTCTCCCGTACTCGCTCTTTCTTCCTCGCTCTCACTCCCTGATGCGATATATATCCCTTCTCCCTTTTTGAGAGGCGAAGGCCCTCTACACACACGTTTTCTCGCTCCTCTGCCCACTACTTGTTTGGACAGGTACCCTATATACAATTTTCTCTTTATAGTCCTCTGCTCCCCACTTGGTCCCGCTCCTTCTCACTCACTGGGTCTGTTGATCACATTGTTGTCGTTCTCGTTGCCGAATTCCATTCTCGCTTTCTTAAGGCTTCTTCCCTGATCCTGTATAACAAAACAACACCCGTCGATCCTCTCATACACATATTCCCCCAGTTCGGTAGGAGATACCTTTTCCCCCAGCGTGCTCCCCGTATCCCTCGTACAAAGTCATATTATACATCGCTCCTCCATACAGATGCTGCAGTTGGAATGACCCCATCATATCCCCACAAAAACTATGGTACAATGCTTCAGGCAACCTTTCCCACTATCATCCATCCCTTACACACACAAAACCAATGGCACAAAGGTCCCAAGGCACCCCGCCTCTCATTTTCAATCAGCCAAGCCATTGCCCACTCCCAAAAAACGAAAGCCCCACAGACGTAGTCAGAGATAAAACATAATGTGGGCAAGGTTGTCGCCAACTCTCAGGTTGTAGACTCCTAAGTTTCATTATCCTGGGCCTCCTGAAGCCATTGTTCCATTGGGTCCCGACTTAGAAACTCGACTAGTCGTTGCCATGGGAAGGGTCCTTTCAACCCGATTTCATCCAAATTTTCCAATTCGAAGGTGCAGTCCCACACACTTAGCGACCCGGGGGGGGTTTTGAACCTCCTCCCCAGTTGCCCAGACCATGTGCTTTCTAGTGTCGAGTTTCTTACCAATATCATTTCCCCCACCTGAAGTGGCTCCTTTGGGATATTTTTAACGTGGTCCCATCTTGCTTTGTCCCTCATCTTTTTGTCCAGTACCCGGTTGGCAATATCCTCTATGATCTCCTCGTTTCTAAGGACCTGTTGACATCGTGCCTCATTCAACTCTTCCGTGGTCATGTACGGATCGTCATCTAACCTGTTCCATAGGTATCAAGGCTTCCACGGGGAAATCGCTTTTTCTTCTATACCAGAGTTTCGCTGGGATACATCCCGTTGTCCTCTTAGGTGTTATGTTCTCCGAAAAGACAGCTTGCTTAAGGTATCTAGGCCAACTCCTCATATCATCCGCCGCGAGCTTCGCAATTGTGTTCTTTAAGGTCCGGTGCCCCCTTTCCACAGGTGCATTGGCCTCAGGGTGATATGGCTCGATGAGCTTGATAGGTACGCAGAGCCTTTTCAGCATTCCCAACACTTCTTGGTTTACAAATTTCGTTTCATTGTCTGCTATAAACCTCCTGATGAAGGGATGCCTCAGCTAGAAATCCTCTATCCAATTTGCTACACCTTTCCCCGTATTTTTCTTGAGGGCGACTGCCTCAATGAACCCACTCAAGTTGTCTCGTGCATCCAGAATATACCTGTATCCATCCTTTGATACAGGCATGACCGCAGATGTCCCGACCCTAGCACCCGTGTCGGTCTAAGTGGCTCGAAGACACGGGTCGAGCTCCATTCCTGGCAGATCAGACAGGTCTGACAGTTTGTGGCCACCATACCCATCATGCCTGGACAATAATAGAGAGGTGTTATTTTTGCAAGGGTTCCTTTGGATGATCGATGTCCCCCTGCCAGTCCGTCGTGCATCGCCTGGATTACGTCCAGCTGCCTAGACCTCCCGCATACGACTCTCCTAGGCGTAACGCCTTCCTCCCTCCTGAATAGATGGTCGTTCCTTAGGACGTATCTTTCGGTCTCCTCCCTTGCTTGAAGGCTGACCTCCATGGACTGCTTCTTTCCTACCAGCAGCAATCCGATTTCTCGAAAGATCCCTTCATACATCTGAACATAGAAAAACTAATTTCCTGCATCTGGTTCACCAATAACCGCAACTTCTTTTGTTCCCAAAACTCCACTAAACTCATCATGGTTTCCTGGCCTCCCTCGACGACCATTGCTATCAATTCTTCTCTCGGACCCACTATTGCTCCCCACGAATCATTTTCCTCTTTGCGTCTTTGTGCGGTGACTAGTCCTTCACTAAGCTCCGCAACTACAGCGGGTGCCCTTTTTTCCAATGTCTGAATCAACAATTCCTCCAACGTGTATTCTTCGCTCATCATCTCGTTATCTACCACAAGGGTTCCTCCTTCGTATTCAAAGAAAGTGTCGATGGGTTCTGCATCGTCCATTCCTGAGGGTGTGATGCAGGCCCGACTTAGCCCGTCGGCCTTGTTCCTGAGTCCAACAATTCATTCGATCTTGTAATCGAACTGCCAGATGAAGTCTACCCATCTCCCAACCGTCGGATCTATAGACTTATAATTTTTCAAAGCCCCTGCGACATTGGTCGGATCGATCCTTAGGATAAAACGCCTCCTGAATAGGTAGGCTTGGAAGATCTTGAGGTAATGTAGAACGACTAAGACCTCCTTTTTGAACTGGGAGTATCGTCGTTCTGCAGAGTTCAGGGTCCTACTTTCAAACCTAATCAACCTTTTTTTTCGTCCTTCATCTTTTTGTATCAGAACGTCCCCTACGGCCAGGGGTCCTCCGTCTGTCTCGAGAATAAATAGTCGTCCAACTTCGTCGTTAAAACATGGTGCTGTCAACGTGACTTATTCAGATGTCAGTATGTCCTTGAGGGTTTGGACGACCGCCTCTCGCTCCTCAGTCCAATCCATGGTTCCTTCAAAAGGAGACGAACTAGGCCTAATCCAACCCTTTTCGAGAAGCTCGTCCAAATGCTGCTTGCGCCGCTCCTCTAACTCTCTGGGGGACATCCTATAAACTGCTCCCTAAGGAGTTCTACTGTCAGGCTCTATCTCTATTCAGTGCCGGATTGGTCGTGGCACAACTCCCATCGGCGGCTCTGTTTAATCTTTAAATTCTTCCAGCAGCTTGGCAATAGCTGGGTCTATGAGCTTTTCCTCCTTAGGCTCAGTGACAGGTCTCACATAAGCTACGAAGACTTGCTCCTCTAACTGCTCCTTCTTAACTAGTCGCGCGAACGTGGGAGCACTGAGACAGCAATGTGCCAAGGTGTTGTCCACACCTGACACATGGAACAGATGGCAGTCTTGACGTCGCCTGACGGACTAAGGAGCCTACAATCATGCTCTCTCAGACGAAGTGTAGCTCCTGCTGCCTCTCCCCAGTCCATGCCTAGGACTATATCGAAGGAAGGTTATCCTAAACAAGGAGAGTTAGGGAATGGAGAACTTCTCCATTTCCCATCTTTCTCTAGGCGAAAATACGCTTGGACTCCCTCTACGTAGTCCTCAACTCGCATAGTGCGGTTGTCTGCAAGGACACTAACTATGGGGTCTTCCAACTTCTAGACCTTCAACCTTAGCCTTAGCTTCTTCATCGCTTTACGGCTAATATAACTGTGGGTGGCCCCTGAATCTATAAGGGCCCTTACTCTACTCCTAAAAATCTCTACGTCGACTAAAACTAGTCCTTTGCTTTCTTTCTTCATTTTGGCCCAGGCAGGCATCCTCTCCTTCAACTCTTATGCCATGCCTGTGAGGGAAGTGCCTAGAGAGACGTTGACACAAGCAGACTCTAGACAGCTAACTAGGCACTGACCTGCAACCTCTGTCGAAGGCTCATGTGGTGTGGGAGTTTCCTCTGTGCGCTCGCTTGCTTCCCCACATGGCCTAGCAGTAGAGGCAATTGCGACCCCTACCGACGGCTGCCTTTTGACTCTTGGGCAGTCCATCAGGCCTGTCTATACTTAGGACAATATTTAATTATGTGGGTCGGGTCACCGCAGTAGATGCACTGACCCTGATCCACACGTTGCTGCCAGACTCTCTGATATAGGCCCAAATCTTCCCATGGCCTGCCTTGTGGCAAGCTTGGGTGCGATCCTCCTCTCCTTTGAGGTGATCCTCTAACTCGTCATTGTGGCGACCGACTAGGACCCTGACGATTTGGCGGGGGACCTTGACCCCTACCTCCCTCTTGACTGCCCTTTTGGCCGCCAACCCCCTGAGTGTCCTGTCCTCGGCCACCATAGGCCTGGCCCCTTTGACCCTAGCCCCCTCTACCTTGCGGCCTCCTTCCAGCTGCGACAGCAGCATAGGTCCTCCCCTTGCCCACACCACTGTCCTCCTCCTCAAGTCCCCACTCTATCTAGCTGTAGGGGACCTCATCAGTACCACCTTCTTCTAATGTAAGGATCATATGATCCTTGGCCCTAACCTGACCAGAGATGGTACGCCCTTTCCACTTTTTCCCCTTATCTAAGTCCTTATGCCAGAAAGTGGACACTGGCATGGACTTTGCTTCGTACAACACCACCTCTCTACTCAATGCGTCATACGTCATGGTGGGCTGTTGGCTTTCGTCAAAGAAATGCCCTCGTAAGGGCTCTGGCATGGCACGATTGAAAAGTTGGACCAGTTGAGCCTCAGTGACCCCATGGTCCGGGACGACTATCAGCTCGTCCATAACCGCTTTGAGTGCTCGCGCATTCCTCCACTGTCGTGAGTGGATAGTTTGGAGTTTATCAGAGGCCTTAACGCCCCTTCTGAGATCAGTGAATCGCTCCCTGAGGAGCTTGAGGAACTGAGGGATGGTGGTGACTTTGGAGTATGCGACCATGTTGTTCTCACAACTGGCCTCACGCGCGAGGGATCTGGCGAAGCTAGCCGCTTCATCCTTCAGGGCATGGAAGGCTACTAGGACTTGTTCATCCTGCACAATGTGTTGTAGGTAGACATAACTGTTCACGCTAACCTCCCAATTATCGAAATTTTCTTCGGGCTTTCCGCCATACGCGACTGGGAACTTGAGCTTTACCGGTTCCTTGCGGGGTCTAGCCTCAGTCTCAGCGGCGGCTATAGCTTTAGCGCCTTCCAAGGCGTCGGTGCAGTATTTTTCTGCACCCTCTTTCAGTCTTTGAAACTGTGACCCCATATGAGTCACAATATCGAGCGCAAAGTCTCGAAAACCCAGTCGAATGGAGTGCAGGGCCATATGTTGGCCCTCGCTGGTTAATTGCTGCTCGGTCCAGGCCTGACCCAAGATCTCTATGCTGCTCAAAATCTTATCCATCTTAGCCCGGATATCCTGATGGGCTTCTACTTCCCTCCTACAGGAATGCACCTTCTCCATCTCCTTTGCCATCCGACTGGCCTCCTCCCTCCTTCTTTTCTTCTCCCTTGCCAGACGCAGTTTCCACTCTAACTTTTTTTCATTCTCTAGCGCCTGGCGGTCCAGGGGATTGGTCATTGCCTCAAACTCCCTGACTACAACATCCTTCTCTTCCTGTGGAACATATAACATCGCCTCCTCTTCTTCTTCCAAACTCAAATTCGCTACCCACTCACTAATATTTTTCTCAATCTAGGGATCTTCCTCCTTCGTGCCACTGCTTTCTCCTCTTCCCCCCGTACGCCTCCTTTCAAGGGGTTCTTCGTCTTCCTCTTCCTCCTCTTCGGCTACCACTTCTTCTTCAGCAGCCTTCTTCTTCTCCTCCTCCTCTTGTTGAAGTCTTCTCAACTCCTCCTCCAACTTTTTCTTCTTCACCGCCTGCTCCTCCTCAATGGCCTTCATCTTCGCCTGCCTGAGGAGCTCCTCTTTTCTTTCTCTCAAAGTGGCGGGGATCCGGGCTTGCTCGACCTCGGATTGAGGGGTAGTACTCTTCCCACTACGGGTGTCAACCATGGTGATTGGTGCACAACCAGACGATGGTTCCACTCCTCACCACTTAGACTCTACTCCCGCTGACTAACAAACCTACTGACTCAATTCTAAAGGACCACAAAATCTTGGACAAGATTTTGTCAACTAGGGTCACTAGCCTAAACCTAAACTATGGCTGTCACTACAGGACTTTACTGTTGATCAGGAGGCATTTAAGGAGATCCCCCATAACTCCTCAGGAATTCTTTAACCTCGCAAACAGGACGATGCGATCAGCAAGTCCTCTCAAGACGTAGACGGCCTGTTGTGCAGCCCACAACTCGGATTTTGGGCCTACTGTGCCACACCGAGCAGCCCGCCGGTCTGTACCGGTCCTTGGGAGGGTTCGTGTCCTCCGAGACAGTCGAGTCGTCAGACACAGTCTTTAGCCCTACTCAGCCCGTGTGGGTTTGGTCAACAAGGCCTTATCCTTTATCCACAGATTTCCTATCGCCTGGACAAAAGAGACTCAATGCAGAAAAAAGAGACAGACAGACTTGACTCAGCAAGTACCACAGGGTGTGTGCATATCCATAGGCCGAGGGGATAGGCTGAAGGCTTGGCATATTATACCGACTCCAACTTGGTCAAACTCGTGGTCAACAGTTTTGGTCAACGCCTTGGTCAACGCCTTGGTCAACACTTGGTCAACACTGCAGTCAACCCCTGGTCAACTCCCAGTCAATATCCGGTCAACGCCCGGTGTAGGGCCTTACCCTGATAGACTTTCGAGCCTGAGTCGACCCCACTACGGGTCCCATTTGGCTTGACCCGCCCACGCTCACGCTCAGGGCGCGGGCCGTTCGTCTCAGGGGCACTCCCACCTAGCGCTATGAGATGGGTGGGGATGGGCCGTTTACGAGAGGGCTTTTCGTTGGGGGATGTAGCTCCGCTCTCGCGTTAGATGGTAGCTCTTTGGGCACTCGTGGCATTTTCTCGATTCATTTAAGTATGGCCAGGCAATTGCTCCTTCCAATACTCATGCAGTCCAGGGGGTTTATTGAGAACTCTTCTTCTTTTCGTGCATAGGCCAAGCGTCATCCTTGGGCCACACACCCTTTTCCTAAGCGCAGCAATCCCTATGACATCATTGGGGTGCCGCGGCGCCATCCATCCCCTAGCCCCTATTTTTTTTTTGCTCGACACACGCATTACATTCACATATCCGTTGCAAGCCCTTAGTCTTTCCGGGCTTCCCCATTGCATGCAAAGAGCCAAGACACACACACACATCATCCCAGGCCACACCACTTCTCCCTCGCCCCTTTTTTCCAAGCATCCTATACCAAGGTCCACCAGCATCAAGGTCTATGCCAGGCCCGCGGTCTTCCCGGTCCGGTCCTGCTCAAACCATCCCAAGCTACTCACCTGCACAAACCCACACAAGCAAAAACCGATCCAATCCCCCACTGGGGTCAACACATTGCCCTTCCCGCAAACCTAAGTTCCCTTTCCTTCCCAAGGTTCCTTCCACGTTCCCTTTCCTTCGCAATCGGGCCACGCATTCTCCTTAGTGATGCAGTCAGGGAAATGGTTGAGTCAACTGACCTCGTGCCAAACTCTCTCTCTCTTTTTCGCTTTCCTTTGAAGATCTTGCTTTTCACTGTCCTCAAGTGACCTAACTTTTCCCTCTTGGTCGCACAGGGGACCGACAGCCTTCCCCTTGCCCTTTTTCTCCACCAAGTGAGGACCGAGTTTGTTTACCGTTCATTCCCTGACAATATAGCAAGTGAGGGAAAGGAGTTAATCATGTGCCAACAAGGAAGAAAGGGGGGGTGAAGGAGACCAGGGTTTGAGGGGAGAGAGTAAAGGAAGAGAGAGAGTGAGACGGAGAGGGAGAGAAGAAGAGGGAAAGAGAGAGAGAGAGAGAGAGAGAGAGAGAGAGAGAGAGAGAGAGAGGAGAGATGAAGGAAGAAACCTTTAGCCCCTTATCAACTTCTCCCATTAGCGTTCCCTATCGTCCTACCTAGTGTTTCCTAGCTCTCCTTGGCACCTTCGTTACTTACGACCCTCAAGTGACGGACGGAGGACAGAGAAGGAAGAAGGTACAAGGAGACCGGTTATGGTGGACGGGTGAAGGTGATGGTGGAGGAAGAGGGTGCAAGGTGGTTGGCTATGGCGGATGGGTGGTGGAGATGGTGGAGGAAGGGGGTGGAAGGTGGTTGGCCATGGTGGATGGGTGAAGGAAACGATGGAGGAAGAAGGTGGAAGATGGTCGGCTATGGTGAAAGGGTGAAGGAGGTGAAGGAGGGAGAAGGTGGAAGGTGGTCGGCTATGGTGGATGGGTGAAGGAGGTGGAGAAGGAAGAAGGTGGAAGACGGTTGGCTGTGGTGGATGGGTGAAGGAGGTGGTGGAGGAAGAAGGTGGAAGGTGGTCGGCTATGGTGGATGGGCGAAGGAGGTGGAGGAGAGAGAAGGTGGAAGGTGGTCGGCTATGGTGGATRGGTGAAGGAGGTGGAGGAGGGAGAAGGTGCAAGGTGACCRGCTATGGTGGATGGGYGAAGGAGGCGATGGAGGAAGAAGGCGGAAGGTGGTTGGCTATGGTGGATGGGTGGAGGAGATGGCGGAGGAAGAAGGTGCAAGGTGGTTGGCTATGGTGGATGGGTGAAGGAGGTGGTGGAGGAAGAAAGTGGAAGGTGGTCGGCTACGGTGGATAGGTGAAGGAGATGGTGGAGGAAGAGGGTGGAAGGTGGTTGGCTATGGTGGACGGGTGGTGGAGGAAGAAGGTCCCCTTTTCTTCCTTACTCCTACCTTCTTTCCTTTCTCTTTCTACTGACCCGTCTCCTCTTCCGACGGCTCCTACAGGCGGTTCAAGTCGTCTACGTAAATCAGCCCCTAGTTTTATTTCTCGTCGGACGACGCCCCATAGAACCTCATCGTTAACAACTGGAACTCTAGGCCTTGTGGTGAACACAGCGCGCAGTATCCGCAACACCTCATACCTCTGTACACTGCTGAACGGCCCCATGGGCGAAGGAGGTGGTGGAGGAAGATGGCGGAAGGTGGTTGGTTATGGTGGATGGGTGAAGGAGATGGTGGAGGAAGGTGCGAGGGGGTAGGCTATGGTGAATAGGTGAAGGAAACGGTGGAGGAGGAAGGTGGAAGGTGGTTGGTTATGGTGGACGGGTGATGGAGGTGGAGGTGGGATGTGGCATACTGTGTAGCCACACGGGTCCTGCAGGGCCCGTCCCGGACATTCAGCCTAAAAGCCTTAAACTTAGGGCTTACAGGCCCCGTTCGTTTCAGCCTGGATGCTGAAAAACGAGGGTCTGCAGGCCCTACCCCGTTTCAGCCTATTTCTAGGTCTTTTAAGACCCAGAGTTTTCAGCCTGAAACAGAGGGCCATTTTCAGGCCCTCATTGTTTCGACCTGCCCCTAAGACTCAGGCACGTAAACAGGGATGCGGAACAGGCCAGAAATAGCCTGTTCCTCACGAGTTTGAGCATGAGCTGCAGCTGCAGCCCCTGCCTCCCTTCGGCAGGCTCAGGAGGCACACCCGTAGTACATAGGAAGTTCCCATGCACTTCACGGGTAGGTAGTGTTCAGTAGGCACGAGTAGTCTTCAGGATTCGGCCGCAGCACTCAGGAGGAGCGGTGCAGTAGTCTTCAGCGCTAGGCTGTAGTTAGCACTAGCTGTAGTCTTCGGCGCTGGGCGCCATAGCTGTAGCTGTAGTCTTCAGCGCTGGGCACTGGTAAGTGGTAGATCGTAGAGTGGGAGAGAGACTGGCGGAGGCCAGTGWTACTTACCTGTGGCGCCATCACTCCGGCTCCATCTTCGTGGTACCTGCATCAAGGCGCCAACTTCACAGGTTAGTACTGGACACAGAGAGAGAGAGAGTTCTTCTTCTTCCTCGTCTAAGTCCACCTTCTCTTCTCACCCTCTCGCCACCTGACTTCTCAGACTACGACAGAGAGAGACAGAGTTGTGACTTGAGACTTGACGACATTGGATCCAAACTTGACATTTGGGATTCAGACATTTCGACGAGGGACTATTTGGGCCTGTGCCAAAGACTTGGTGTTGACGACATTCCCATCTTCCCCTCCTCGCCTAACCCCCTTCTTCTTCGTCTGTGTATGGTAGGGGCTGGTGCAGTCTTCCTGTGTGAAGCGCCAGACCCCATTCACACCATGTAACGTTGATGATGATGTATGTTCAGGGCTGCATTACAACATTGATTGTTCGGATCACTGGTATCTAAGTCTTCCGTTGTGCTATCTTATACTTTGTATTGAAAGGTCGGTTCTTGTTCTGGTCTGCACGTTGCAGTATGCAACAGTTTGGTATCGGAGCGGACCTCTCATACAGAGGACCTACTCAATCAAGTAGCCAGCTTGCGATCTATTGATCACTCAGTAGTAACACAAGTAGGACTTAGTCAAATCTCTGAATTTTTTTTTTTCTCGCAACAACTATCTGAAATTTCTGATATTCGCATTTTCGTTCTATCTGGAAATTTCTGATATTAGTAGTTCGTTTTTTTACGTGACAAATATCTGAAAAATTCTGATAAATCGCATTTCATTATGTCTGAAAATTCCCGATAGTAGCAATTCGTTTCTCTGATATTTCGCATACATAGCTAAAATTTCTGAAGTTAGTATTTTCGTTCTCTAGGCATATTGGGATAACGATAGAAGCGGTCATATTCTCGAAAACTGAAATTATTCTTTTATGAAAATCGCGTTTCCATTCTATCTCGCAAATTTTTTTTTGAAAACCGAATCTTGCGAAGCCTACCAATATTGCGCTAGGCTTATTCGGAGGTTGCTGTACTCTCAGAAACTGGATTTCGTTCTTTTCTGAAAATCGCATCTTTACTCCAGTTCGCAAATTTTTTTTTTTCAAGATCGCAGTTTGTAAAAGCCAAAACTTTGCGGCACCTAGCCTAGATCTCGTTCATAATACTCTTCTGACATATCCTACTCATCATAAATCGACAGATATATACAAAAAAAAAAAGAAAAAAAAAAAGGAAGTTGTCCTCGTTTATTTTTTATTTTTTATTTTATCTGTTGATTAGGGCCGGAGGAAAGTCTTGTTGGGTTGGTTACCTACCTACATTTTCCCTCCCACCCATCCCTTGCATGCATCCCGGTTTGGTACAGTGCCACGTCAGCAGCGCCACGTCAGACACAGTGCCACGTAAGCAGTGCCACGTCAGCATTGCCACGTCAGACACAGTGCCACGTAAGCAGTGCCACATCAGCAGTGCCACGTCAGACACAGTGCCACGTCAGACAAAGTGCCACGTCAGCAGTGCCACGTCAGCGACATGACGGGCCTGCGAGGGCAACTGCCCAACGAGTCCCTTGCCGCCTACAAGCAGCGTTTCCACGCTCAGATTGAGGCTGAGGAACAACGGCTGCTGGCAGCCGAGGCTGCCCGCGTACAGGCTGAAGAGGCATCAGAAGCAGCACAGCTGCGGCTACAGGCCGATGCAGACGCAGATGCCCAAGATCTGCTGCAGCGGCATGAAGCCAACAACATCGACAGACTCAAGTACTGGCATTTTGAACCGAACGGCGACGAGGCAACACCGGAAGAGAAACACAAGGAGTTCCTCTCCAAACTCGTGACGCGCTTGTTGTATGCTTGCAACTACCAACGGTCAGAGTTGGAGAGACAGTACCAGGACCTGACGTAACAGCATCAAGAGTTGGCACAGCTCCGCCGCATGGTGCAGAGCCACGAGGATGCAACTCGGGCACTCAATGCCTGATTGCTGGACCTGGAACAGGCTGTACCAGGACCAGCTGCTGGGGCTTCCAGCAGTGCGCCCTCTAGCTGCCAACTGGAGGACCGCGTTAACCATGTAGTGGCAATGCTCGGCGACATCAGCACTTTCGCTGCGCCAACCACCACCATCAGTAATCGGCTGCATACATTGAAGACCGAGGTCCAGCAGCTGCAGACGACGAACGTGGATGGCAATCCGGAGATGTATAAGATACCAACGTTCAATCTGGAGAGGTTTGACGACTACACGCAACAGGATCCGGTCCTCTGGTGGGAAGCATTTACAACGCAACTAAGGATTCTGCCCGTAGCCAAGCATGCGTACATCGCAATGTAACAGGTGAGTGGGGGAAGGTTAGTTATATGACAAGAGGGGTGAGGGGGACGGGGTAAAGTCAAGGCATTTAGAATAAGAGAGGGATGACGAAGGGGAGA